CAGATCATTATGTCGACTTTCCAGATAATTATATTGACTTGTCTGATCTTTTTGTCGACTTGTCATTTATTCATGTGTTTGAAATACAACATGAAAACGTGTCCGAAAATCGTAGTACGCATGCCCAGTTTGTGCCATCCAGTTGACATCGTCTTTTTCTGAGAAGTCGACAATAGGATCTGACAAGTCGTCATAATTATCTGACAATTCGTCATAATTATCTGACAATTCGTCATAATTATCTGACAATTCGTCATAATTATCTAACAAGTCGACAGAAATATACGACAAGTTTACAAAACATTCGACAAGTTGACATCATTATTTGACAAGTTGACTTAACATCTGTCAAGTTGACATAACATCTGACAAATCAACATCGTTAAATGACAAGTCGCTAAAACATCTGACAAGTCGACTTATCAGAAAATTATGTCGACTTCCCAGATATTATGTCGACTTATCAGATATTATGATGTCAAGTAAATGTCAGTTAGTAGCAATAACAAGCAAGCTTTAATATGAAGATACCGAGTTCCTAGTCATGAAGATTATTATCTGACAAGTCGAAATAAATACACTTTATCTGACAAACTGACATAAAGATCTGACAACTAGACCTAAAGATCTGTCAAGTTTTAAGATTGCTGTGTAACCAGCCACATTGCTGCATAGACACTAAGTGGCGAAATGTGAAGGTAAATGTGGTCAAAAGCTAGGAAAGGTCACTGTAAGGTTATTGTCTTGATTATCAGCTAAAGAAGTCTACATGCTGTTAAACATATAAAACATTGGTGTTTTGATTTACAAAATAGTTTTATACGTTTAATTTTATCCAGTGCATGAATATGTAAAATTGAACTGCGCATATCCGTACAACTCTGCATCTGTTTCGTCACGTATTGTTAAGTGCCAATCCTTGACTTCTTTTCTCAATGGGGGACACTTCTTGTTCCAGACTTCCTTGAGCCGTCTGTCTAGTATGATTTGTAAAATATAAATGAATGAAACAATATCCGTCTTACCCACTAAAACAGACACGATTTGGTTTTTTATTTTAAATTTTCCAAAATCCTGTACACTTTTTCTTAATTGATACAGGTCATATCTGCACGAAACATGAAGTTACATTGTAGCAAAGCTATGTGGTTGTATTGACCATCAAGGATTTCTTTGTCCGTTTGGTCATTCTGTTTTTAGTAACGTTAATGTTAAAAATAATAAATTTGACTTTTTTAAAAACTAAATGCTGTGTCGTTTATATTGTTTTCACTAATTAACAATTTTCAATTGCCAATGAGTACATGACTAGTTTTATAAGTCATGTACTCATTGGCAATTGAAATTGTTAATTTATAGTGAAAAACACTTCAAATATATTGAGATTTGATTTTTTTATTCTATATAATATGATTAACTATAGTGATTAACTTTGAAGAAATAACATGGGTAAATGCACGCTATACTTTGTAAATTCTGTGAAAATATTGCGAGCATTTTCAATCTCTTAACTGCTGTTTATCAGAAACCAAGGAAACCTGAATAAAAGCATCAATAATTCATTTTCTATACTTGAAAACTGGTCAACAAATTCGAGAATTTTTTTGTTGTTGTTGCTCTTTTATTAGTTTCAACTGTTATATAAAACGTCGTGTAAAAAGCATGAGATACCACTGCAAGATATCACAACAATTTCCCTAAAAATGCAACATTTTTTTTTTAAACTTTTATATGGTGCAAATGTCCATTTTTTACAAGACCGTTTCTAAGACTTTAAAGAACCTTGAATCATATTAAGATATATGTTAAGAAAATTGTTGCATGAAAAATTTCAATTTCAATTCCAAGCCTTTAGAGACCTTTCAGACACATCTTTCTTTGAAAGCGGGGAAGAAATAGAGCCAACTTTAACAGGGACGATAATGTGTCATAATCCCTTGGGTGAAGATAGTTAGTGAACTTTTATAGACAGCCTCGCGCGGGGTAAAATTACCCATTTATCACTCTATCTACATGTTTGTATCGCCACTCTTATTTTTGCTACAGGAGCCTGACAGCATTATATAATAGTTTCTGAACAGTGCTAAAGTCTGGGGACGTTTTGTCACGTTTTCCGTGATACGTTCTTGTTCTAGGTAAAGAGGGGTAGTGTACTGAAGGATAAAAATGGTGCCGTGGTTCCTTTTTTTTTATTTATCTGTTAATTCTGGGTGGACGGAGTTTACGTTCTTGGTATTGATCAGTTGTTAACCCTAACCCCTAAGCGGAACCAGAATATACGATACCCTTATAGCTTTAGAGCTCATCTCTTTTTCCAAGTTCTATCTATAGAAATCCTTTTGCAACAGCTGAAACTTTGGAGTGTACATGCATTAACATACACAACCTCACCAACCTTTTTAAGGATATAAGTAGAGCTCATTCCGCCTGTCTGTCCAGTATTGGTCATTTGTGAAGTTACAATGTACATGTATATCAAAAATCGTGCGATATACTATCAAGAAACCTATCTTAAAACAAGGAAATGTTTTCAATTTCAAAGTACTCCAAACAATTTTTATTTTGAAAAAAAAAAATCAAATACATCTCATTGCTTCCACATGAGCATACAATTCTGAAAAACTAATTGAAAATCTATATTAAATAAATATAATCATTATCTTAACATTATTGATAAAAAATGTAAATATATAATGTTAAAAATTTTTGAGAGAAAAACGGAAATACGTTAAGTGATTACTTTTGAATGCATTTGGACGGCAAGAACGTGCGAGTGCGACTGCCTTAACATACACATAGATCGAGGTATGTACTCAGTCTCGCTGTCGGGCGAAGCCCCTTATCATAAAATTTTTATCAGTATATTTTCAATTTCAAAACGAGCAAATGTTGAGAATTCCGGAAATAACCCTATCCCCCATTATCGCTCCTACTGTCACTTTCCTCTATCAAGCATCGGTTCTTCCTCCACGCAGAGTTAACATTTGTACATGTTGTTTCTAGGTAGAAAATCCCGATATTGCCTCAAAACACAAAGAATTGATTGCGTCATTTGCTGTCCATAATCTAGTGAGGCAATGGCCTCATTAACCACGTGATTCAACTCTGCCTTTGCAGTCACGTGTAGCTGGTATATCCGAACACGTGGCGATTTTAATATTGTGTAGTAATTATCACTTTCTTTGTTTTGCGACAAATTTAAGAGCGGAGATAATATTTTCTAGCTCACAAATTATCAAGAGTCTTTACTACTATTTTTTTTTTTTTTTTTTTTTTACAAAGTATTATAATAATAATAATACATAGTATACATAAATATATCTTTACTATTGTAGAATTCAAAATACTTGAAAGAAAATAGTGAATAGGTCGTAGAATTGCAGTTGGCTGTCATTGCATAAAAAAGCCAGCTATTTTTCAAATGTACTTTTTCAGTTAATGTTTTTTATCTTTATTTTGGGATGTGCGAAACAATATCCCAAGGAAAATGTTGTCAAGAAGCGTTCGATGGAACACAGAACAAGAAAAGTACTAAAGATGTGACACTTTGACCACAGAACCACACGTCTCATTGATAAGACCTTCGAATAACTAGACCAAGAATTATAAAGATGAGATTTTTAGTCATAAAATTTTCACTTTAAATAAAAAGAACTCTTTGCTCCAAGTTAATGTAACGGAAAAAATCCCTATTTAAGCTTATTTTTACACGATTTTTAATGAACTATCATCCATTCTGGACAAAATTTCTTTTAAGCAGTTGAAAAAGTGATTTACTGACCTTGATTTATGCATTTTATATATATATATATATATATATATATATATATATATATATATATATATATATATATATATATATATATATATATATATATATATATATATATATATTAATGCTTTCGATCTTCATCAGATTGTAGCAAACTGTATAAAATTTACAGTAAGAATGAACAAATTAATGATGACTGATAATTCACAGAAAATTTTCTTACAAAGTTATGAATTTTCCTTTCTTATTTGCACAAATATGGCATTTTACGCGTGCTCGGTATCCATGTTGTTTAACTTATGATCACTTCAATATTTTTGATACACTGTATTTGGCGTAATAAGAAACTCTATAGAAATGGTATAGGAAGTTTAAAAAAAATAACACCGGTAACTACTTGATACACTTATTATATGTAATACTTACAGTAGAATTTAAGTAAGACAGTGACGCTTATAGCATTTATTTCACGAAGTCTAATTCTTGACCAATGTCCATGCAACTCTTTCTAGTGTTTACAGGATTAAGACAATAGATTTCAAGAGTACCCTTCTTCCTGATAAACAAACTACGTTTAATTCAATTGTCCACTTGAACTAATCCTCCCCTCCGGAAAATGACACTGACAATGTTACTACGTGGTATAATCGCTTATAATTATCACCCAATCCCTTCAGCACGGGATTCTCGCGAACTTTCTCGAAGACCTGATTGGTTGAATCTCGCCTCATAAAAATACCATCTGTCCAACTCATCTTTATTCATATTTAAATAATTCGACAAGGAGATTATAATATTTCTGCAGAATGTGAGTAAACTTTTAAATCTTTATACAGCTATCACAAATTATTATCATTGTGAAGAGAGATTTAAATTTCTTTTTTTAAACAAATTCAATTTTATATTCTTCCTTTGTTCACTCAAATAAAATTCTGTTTTAATATGATTTCCAAAAATAAAGTAAATTATAATTGAAATGCGAACAATTTCAGCATAACTTGTGTGTCGCTTTTTCCAACTGACAACGTTTTCAAGGAATACTAGCCATTTATACCAGTGAAGGTTATCTCTCTTTGCAGAGGGTCCATGAACCTTAAAATAAAGCAACTTAAAAAATAATGTTCGCACTGAAGTCCTATGTATCTAGTGAAGCTTTCTTATCAAACTAAATAAAATAGAGAAATAATTTTAGATGAAAGATTCGTAATATTGACATTTTCTAGATAACAGAAGTTTTCGAATAATGGCGGGTAATTCTACTATTGCTGGCTTTACCGACTCTGGAGTCCGGACAGTTACAGATGCCCCAAATGTAGCAGACGATGTCATGGCTGTGGCAAAGAAAATGCATTGGGTGACTAGCACTATATTTGGTTGCATTTTTGTCATTATTGGACTCATTGGGAACATCTTCTCCATTCTCATCTGGAGCCGAAAATCCATGCGATCTTCTACTGGGATATATCTCATTGCTCAAGCGCTGGCGGATATGGGTCTCCTGATTTTCTTCTTTATCACAGACAGTCTGCCGATGATGGCGCCCTCTGTGAAGGCTAGCTACGCGTTTGGAGTGTTTTTCTCGTATATTGGGTACCCTATTTTCTTTCTGTTTGTTGTATGGAGTATCTGGATGACAGTTGGGGTGACAGTAGACCGCTATATCCAAGTTTGTTGGTTCACGAAAGCAAAGGTATGAAACTGACGCAATTCTGAATGGTGAAAAAAAACATGTATCAATAAGTACTTTAAGAGCCCACATCCTAATGACTAAGGGCGGACAATATTTGTGTATAAATTTAATAATTACTAGCATAAAATAATTAATTATCCCTCCTACAATTGTTGTAAATAAGTTTTGCTATCTGAAACTGTTGCTATTATCTGTGAGATTTTTAAACGGGCTGGGGAAAACTGCAAAAATCCTTCAAACACAAAAAATGACAATGCAACGTAAACTTGACCTAGCCTCTAATGTTACAGGAGATGTGCAGCGACAAGAGAGCTGGTATCGGGATAGGAATCATTGCTCTTCTTTGCTTTTTGATAAACACACCCCATTTTAAGACCTTCTACCCGATTCCTGAGTCCGACAGAAATCCAGAAGATGATGCCTTCTCTCACACGGAGTTTGGAGCCAGTGAAGGAAGTCAGCGCTATGAATTCTGGGTACACTGCATGTTTCTGGTTCTGGTTCCATGGCTTACAATCTTCATCCTAAATATGCTGATCATCTGCCGCGTTGTCAGGGCCAACAGAGGCATGTCGACCCGGAAGAGCATAAAAGGACAGGAGAAGGCCAAGAGGGCAGAGAACCAGATGACCCGCCTTCTTTTGACCGTGACATTCGTTTTTCTCATCCTTATTGCCCTTCAGTGTATAACGCAATGCTTCTTCATGATGCAGCCAGAAACGGTGAGTTAGATTAAGAATATTCACGAATTGCAGTTAAAGAAGTTCAAGACAGAGTGTTCATTAAAGATTTATTCTTATTTGCAATTGAATCGTTTTCACTATGAATGTCTCTGTTCATTATGCTGTAATATATGTTATTAATATAATTTGTTTCAGGCCGATCTGCGCATTGTTAACGAGGCATTTTCTGTCGCCAAACTTGGAATCGTGATCAACTCCTCTATCAACTTTTTTCTCTACTGTCTCAGTGCACGCAAGTTCCGCAAAGAGTTGTTCAGAGTTATTGGAATCCGAAAGGGAGAAAGAGAGGAGTCCTTCTCAAGCTCCACGGCATCTACCACATTATCTACGGCCAAATTCAAAATGTCCTATAAAGCCTAATCATGGAGAACGCCACATACGAGTAAAGCAACAGTGCTAAACACATTTCTGAATTAAAATGTGTGAACTCGCCAAAATCTCTCAAGTAGAAACCTACTTTTGGTACATGTATTACATAGACCCCCCCCCCCCTTTTTCCCAAAGATAAACCGGGGTTGACATTGTAATCAAAAGATTCTGGTCAAACTAAGTGCTATATTTTTGGTTTTCTATAATAATAATATCCAATAAAAACAATATTGTACAGTGAAAAAGTATTTACTGTTGTATATATATTTCTTCAAATCTTTTGTTTTCGTACACTTGACAGTTTTTTGTTTTCTTGTCCAGAATATTGTTGATGTTTTCCCGAAATTCTGTTATGTGAAGTTTTTGTCGTAATAAAAGTAACTTTATATTTGCATCTTTTAACCATATTTGATATGTACAATTTATATTTGGATTTGTTATCATTATTATTTTCCTTCTACTTATCGTTCTTATAGATGAGTGTTGCTGTTTTAAAGGTTGTGTTAATAAAATGTTTGCACTTTTTAATTATTTTTTTAATGCTTATAAGACTGCAAAGGTTTAGGCTGGGACGATGCATAATTTTAGTATTAAAGGCAATGAACACGTAACGGTGTCAGTGTATTTACACGTGACGATAATTATTCAAATATTTCCTGATCATGAACTTCATTATTGTGAATTTAGTGTGGACAATCCTAAGTATACAGAAATTATGATTGTCTGGATTTTACAATAAATGTTTGTAAACATAAAGGGTTATTTTAATAACTTTTTTATTCAAGCGTTATCCAACCTAGTTATTAGTACATCAATGGAATAAGCTAAGCACATGATTTTGTTGAAACACCAACCTTGAATGTGCTGCTTTTTATAGCGAACAATTTGTTGTTTGAAAGAAAATTCCATGAAAAGCTACACGGAGATAAATAGAAGCGTTCGTGTATAAACATAACTCGACACTCGACATTTCTGTTTTAATACTGGTGAAAAAATTTCTTATATATACATGTATGCATTTTCCAAACAAATCCCTCTTTGTCAAGTAATATGCTCCTTTTCTCGAGTCAATATGCAGGTTATACTTAAATTTTACATTCAGAAATGCTTAAAATCGTCAAACATTTAGATCACGAATTATCCAGGTATTTATATAAGTCTTTAAAATCAAACAAGTCGAAAAGATGCTTATACTTTGTCTCTGAAGGATTACGACTTTTAATAAGCACACCAATTACACTGCAAGTCGTCTATACACTAGAGATATATATTATTAAGTAATAAAAAAATACATGTGTCAGTTCCATTGACAAAATTTCTTCCAGTGTTGAAAAATATTAAGAAGATAAAATTGCATTGTAAAACAAACAATGAAACAAAAAATAACAACGATATACATATATATGTCCGTTTTTGCCAAAGAAGATAAAACAAATCCACCATAAAAAAGAATATGAATTCCCAGACATGCCATACACCCACGTTAACAAGAGTGTGAATAACACACTTCAAAAGAGGCAATAGAGGAAAATATAAACTGATTCAGATTTGATCCTCACCAGAATCTTTAAAGATTTCGTAAATAAAATGGCACCATAGCTTGTCGTCATCTTAGGAAGTGCCACCAGACAATTCAAACAGCAAATATCTGGAGATCTGGTGTTCTGTCAATTTAACAGCCATTCAATTATAAAGAGAGAGAGAGAGAGAGGTTAGTAGAGTTGTCACCAGCAATGATAAAACATAAAACATTCTAACAGCCTTTAAGAGGTAGGACCTAGTGTTGAAACTCAGGGCCCCATTTTACAAAGAACGTACGACTAAGACCAAAATGTAATTTTGCAAATAACTTTATATTTTACATTAATATGAAAATGCTTCAAACATATTGTAAAAAGAAGTCAGACAATAATATTAGAAGATTTTATAATCAAATTAAGGTTTTCGTCTTGGTTGCATGTTCTTTGGGACCCAGTTCCTTACACATGTATGTATACGTAAAGATAAAGACAAGTCACAAGAAACTGTAGTCATATAGATTTTAGCACAGTGTTTGACCATGTCCCATATGAGGCACTCTTTGCTATGCTGAAGATCAGCAGCAGCTATAGACTTTCTCGGATAATGTCGTTTTTTCTCTACTGTCTCAGTGCACACGATTTTGTTCCAAAGAACTTAGCAAGTTATGGCGAGTAGTCTCGCATCAAATCGTGGGCTGCATTGCATTACCGAAAATTTTGAAACTGGTCGGTTATCATTACCGAATATTATTTTTTTATTTCCGGGAAAAAACCCAATGATATATCATTACCGAAAATTCAAAATGGGATACCTGTTTATGCTCTAAAGAGTGACAGAAAAAGATCTCAAAGTTCTGCATCCAGGTATACAGTTGATATAATATAACTAAACGAAATTCTCTACTATGATAATAATAACAGAATACTGAGAATAGGATTTTTTTTAATTATAAAGAAAATATCTAAAACGTCAAGTGCCTGTGTTAGTGGAGTACAACAAGGGGCACTCCTAGTCCAGTTCTATTCTTACTTTTCATGCGACCAACCGTATATAGAAGCCAGACCGTTTGTTGACAGCTGTCTAATATACAGAGAGGTTAATTCAAACGAGGATCATGATAATGTCTTTCCACAAAATGATTTTAAAAAAATTGTTATAACTACTTTTCTGCTGCCTGTACAGGAAGATCTATTGAAACCCGAAGATTGGAAGAATTACACATTGAGGATATACGTCTTGCCAGTGAAAACACTACAAACAGTGCTGTAAACAAACTTTTATTCGCGTTCGAGAAATATTCGCGAGTTTCGCGACCTACTGTAATTCGCGAATATTTATCACCGCGAATCAATTATTTTCCTTTGTTTTTGTAGAGAATGTTTCCTAAGTCGCGAAAATTAATCGCCGCGGATTGATTTCAAAATGACGAATCGCTAATATAAGATGACACGAATAATATTTGCTTTACAGTATATTTTGAACAATTTAGAGATGTCCTGCAATCTCAACAGGTCTATACATCAACAAGACAATAGACAGATAGACAGAAGAAACAGTATCGGGATTCTTCAAGGAAATTTACCAGTGACGAATGAGGTGACCAAAAGCAGTCGCACATTTGAATACTCGATTGTATTTATCTTCACCACATCTCAAAGCAAGCACGCTCGTCCTGTTTATTTGTATAGCATGCCCCCGCTGATTATTTTTTGCATAGTCCATGTGCCTCTGGTTTAGGCGACCTTATGTGACCTAATTGGTGACCAATATATTGCAACCGACAAAGGTGCGCTTTATATGAATGCGCACAATACTTTCATTCACAGTATAAAGCGCACCCATCCGCCCCTATCCACCCCAAATCCTTAACTCCATGCTTTTAACCCTTTTGGTACCTTTTTAACTTGTATGTAACAACTTTTTAAAAGTTTATTAGTTGAAAAATATTAAAATTCCGGCGTGTTTGAATGACCTGGCTAACAACTTGAAAGGGAAACAGCTTTTAAATAAAATCTTAAATTTTATATTATGTGTGCTGTATTATAAAACAAAATTTATAATACAGCACACATACAGTATAATATAAAATTTCATGATCCTGGGGACTGATGACACTTCATGATTTCCTCTTTAGAAAACAAGATGTGAAGTATGAAAGCCCTAGCACCAACTGTTCAAAAGTTATGGCCAAGGTTAAAGTTGGGGAAAATTTGTAAAACTGGGTCAAACTCCAAGGTCAAGATCAAAAGGTCAAATATGATGGTACCCAAAGAAAGGCCTTAATTGTCACAAGAAATACACATGTGAAATATGCAAGCCATAGCTTAACCAATCAAAAATTATGAGCAATGTTAAAGTTTTTGCGGACAAACAGACAAACAGACAGACGGACATGGCAAAAACTATATACTCCCGAATCTTCGATGCGGGGCATAAAAGGAAATACAAATTGAAGAGGTGTAAAACTACTCAGTACCTGTAGATCAATATAGACCCCATCCCAACTCAGCATTTTGTGTAATTTTGCGTTGTCATTTTTGATTAAGTTTGAACCCTCACCCCAACCGGAATGTGCATTTCATGTGAAAAAGTTATTCATAACATGTCGGATTACCCATATAGCAGGATAATGTGAAATATATATATCCGGAAATATCCGACCAAGATTATTTGTCCTGTGTTTTCGGAATCTCTTAAGAGTTTACATTTGATCATAGAAATGAAATGCCAAAACTAAATTATACAGTAAGTTTTCTTGACATCTGTGCTAGTACTTTTATTTGACATCGATGATGCTTCCAGTTTGTAAATTAAATCAAGTATAGATGTTAAGATATTGAAATAACGACTTAATACCAACGACACTTACGTTTATTCATGATTTAACGTTACATAACCGATGAAAGTCTTCAGTAGATAGACTATGTATAGGCCTACTGTTTACACCTTGTCACCCTAGATGTGGCAAGAAATTGGTACTTCGTTTTTTATGTAATACTTTTATATCCAAAGGGTGCACTCCTTAAAATGTATCCTGGGTGCTGAAGTGTAATCTTCAAAATACAGTACCTATATCAATTTCTTTCCATATAGACATGATTTACACTGACAGCATATTCTATGTCTATGACAATATTAGGCCTACATTTATTATCTATTTTTATAGTGTAACCAGTTTTGGTATGTGTATGTTGATAAACATACACTGTATGTGGTGAGGTCACACAGGTCAGAAACTGGTACAAGATATAAATATGTTATACAGTAGCACACTTGGCTAGGCTAGTTCCTGTCAATGATGTTTTTAAAAATATACTATCAGTGTGGTGATGCCTTTTGTGCTAGCTTTCATAAAGAAGGGTATAATTTCTTAATCTGTTACTTACCGTCTCCCTGTTTGTGTTTTCTTCGATTGTTTATTATATTACCTCTTTTCACTTTAGGCCATTCCAAGTTTTTTTTCCATGTTTCCACGTGCGCCTTGGTTTTTGACAC